TAGACCTGTTGGCAACAAAAGGTGAAAAACAATGAGGATTTTCGTTTAGGTTATTTTAATATTCGTATTCAATTATTGCGGGGCAGAAAAAAGTCAAGACTGAAGAGAGGTGCTGTTTTTGAATGATCACTTCTTTAATCACATCTTTTAAGAAAGATTATGTGWTTTTTGTACAAACATGAATTAGTCCAATGACCAATACACTTTAATAATCAATCAGKTCAAGCAAGTCCAAGGCAAGGCACAAGCTAGCATGTCGATCAAGAGTCCATTTCCACTGTTGATAAAAAATGTTAAGATTACTAAATTTACTCAAATTTGAAAATGTTCAAATTTATGTTTTTTGGTGTACAGTATTTACAGTTTCAGCAAAATTACAGGGATTACCACAAACTACCAGTAGTTATAGGTTAAATGAAAAAAATCCTCAAAAGACTGAGTCTGCAAACTGTGAAACACAACTTTGTGTCACTTTACTGTTCGTCAATGAGAGCAGAGTTTGCAGGTTCGGCTARAATATGTGGAGGCCTTAAGCTGAGGAAGATCAGGTTCAGTGTGTTCTTTAGCCAAACTCTGTTAAAAGAGTTAGGGATAGAACAATGAAGAGGATTTGATTGTTGGGCTTGTTGGACATTCAGTTAGATTGGTCARTTTGCTTGTKTATGTCAGATACTCAAACAATTCAGTACCTTGTAARCTTGTACAACTGTTTGTTTTTTCTGTAACATCATGGCGGTACTTCGAGAGCTTAGTATTCTCTGAGATTGCACGATTTATAGAAGGTTTGGGAAGTATTGCTCTTAACAAGTTTGATCCTTTACAAATAACGTTAACTTTCCTTCAAAAATCAAAAGCTACATTTTAGCATTTGTGCCAATAATGCAAGAATTCATTACTTTTTTAGAACATTCTCCRCAGCAGAAGCTGACCTGCTCCAGCAGTCTATCTGTATGTAAACCCTAAAGTGTCTCAGGCGAGTCACGTTGGCTAACCAGCACAAYTATACCCTCCTGTTCAGACTTGAATGTTAATATTGTCTGTAAACATTTGTCGACAATCATACTGAGCATTACGGCAGCCGGTACAACCTTCCTAGATATCAGCAGAACACAGTGTCTCTGTGAAGGATTAATTTTTAATAATATCCCCCCACATTCAATAACAAATTTTGCACACACCTATGCACAATTCTAGTTCAGTATTAAAGCTGAAGCTTGCTTGATGTCGTTTTACATTAATGTGAAGGAGGCAGCTGATTTAGGTTTACGTTGAAATTGCACCAACATTTTTCCCCCTTACAGCCTGTCTGTCACTGTTTGTTGTCCCAGAGACACTCGGTGAAAACTGCTCACTGCTGATGAAAGCACTTTCTGAGAGAAAAAAGGTGTCTGCTGTGCTGTTATCCATTTTTGTTTATAGACAGGAGAGTTAATAGCAGCTAATGAGAGAACAGTTCAGCTGCTGTGCTGTTTGCAGACGTTGGCTGTGTGACACCTAATAAAAAYTGCAGAGGACACGGAGGTGTTGGGTGCAGATGATGGGGTGTGAAGTGTGAAATGGACAGCTCTATATACAAAATGCACCCAACTGTGCCGTCAGGATGCAGCGCTTTAGTGTTGAGTGTTGATGGCTGACTAATAAAAAGAGAACATTACATGTTTCAGAAAAAATGTCAGTGAAGAGAAAGTGACCATGTGTCCCTATTATCAGCCTGAAGTACAACCTGTATGAA